ACCTTGGTCAACATGTTTTTTCCCTACAAATTAATACACTGTCACAGACCAGTAATTCATATTCATCATTTATTACAATTCTGCAAACTTTTATGATTTTACCAGCTTTTCTAATATGGACCTCACATTCTTGTTAACACTCCAATGCACAAATACTCTTCCCTTTAGGCTCTGTGTATGTGTGTGTGTGTGTGTATCAATATTTCTCCCATTTTAAAGTATTACTCCTCTATAATTGTATTTCTGTTAAATCAAAGTACTTTTACTACATCTTAGTACTTCTGCTCAATCATAGTATTTCTGCTAAATCATAGTATTTTTGACAAATCGTGATTTTTGTGCCAAATCATAACATTTGTGTTATGTTAAAGTATTACTACTAATTGGAGGAATTTCTGTCATGTTACAGTATATGTGCTAAATATAGTATTTCAGCCAAATCATACTATTTCTACTATATTATATTTTTCTTTCTAAATACAGCATTTCTGCTATGTTGTACTATTTTTCTAAATCATAGTGTTTCTGTAATGTTTAAGTATTTTTGGCTAAATATATTCTTTCTGCTATCTTATACTATTTCTCCTAAATTCTTGTATTTTTGAGAAGTTATCAAGTTTCTGGTAAGTTACAATATTTCTGCTAAGTTCTGCTATGCTATTGTATTTCTGCCAAGTATTATGTTTCTTCCAAGATATTGCAGTTTTACTAAGTTATTACATTTTCGCAAAGTTCTTTTCCTTCTACAAAGTTTTTACAATTTCTGCTACTTTTCAGCTTTTTCAGCTACTTTTTGCATGCAGCTTCAGCTTTAAGCATCCACACTGCATTTTCGCAGGAAATGCAAATTTTTCTAGTTATAAATTTAATTTTCTGCTAAAGGGGAGCATTTAACAGGTATTTTCATTAGAAAACTGTGTTTCCCAGGATCCTTTGTGGTAGACGAAAGTTACTCTGGGTTTTAGCTAGCAAAGAAAGTTTCGAGAAGCCATTATATGTTGCTCTGATGTCGAGAAGTTTATTTGTTGTACATTCCCCTTTTTGAAGCCTTATATAAAGACTATCGTTTCTACAACTGATGTCTGATCCATTTTTTTGGCTAAGTGGATTCGCCACATCATTTTTTCGTGCCGAAACCCAGGAGAAATGAGCGAACAGGACTTACGTGGAGCCGCCGCCGCCGAAGCTGCGGGAGTGGCGGATGACGAGCATCAGAGAGAAATGGAAAGAACAACACGGAAACGTGGGACGTTAAGAGGTGCTACCACACGACTTGTACATCAAATTGACTCCGAAATGGCTAAACCAGATCCGGACACTGACCATCTGAGCACATTACTGGAAATGCTGTCGGCAAAGGAGCTCAGCTTGTATGCCTTAGATAGTGAAATAGAACGTAAAACAGCTCTGGATGACCTGGAAATGGAGATCGAAAGCGCAGAGGAATATAAGGAGCGCATCATCCTGTCCAAGAGCCGTGCACGGCGCATAATTAAGCGAAATGAGGATTGCCGCGAACGAGCTGCGCATCAAAGGGTGAGTGACGATAGCTCTGCTCATTCATTGGCACAGAGAGCATCGGTAAAGCTTCCTAAGCTGATTATTCACAAATATGATGGAGATGCCAGTTTGTGGCAGGAGTTTTGGAGTCAATATGAAGCTGTTATTCACCACAATGATGCACTATGCAAAAGTTTACCTTTTTGAAAACCTATCTCACTGGCCAAGCAGCAAAAGCAGTTGCAAGACTAATGTTGACAGATGGAAATTATGACAACGCAATTGAGTTATGGCAAAACCGATATGGAAGAAAGGATGTGCGCACATGTGAAAACTGCTGAACCACACCCCTGTTAAAAAATCCTCTGATGTGCATGCTTTGAGGCAGCTGTATGATGAATGTGAAATTCAGATCAGAAGTTTAGAGTCATTGGGTGTAGTGTCAGAAAGCTACGGAAGTTTGTTATGCCCAATAGTGCTAAAGATGATTCCAGATGTTATAGCTCTTGAATACAGCCGTCAGAGAAATGGAGATGAAGAGTGGAAAGTGTCAGAAATGGTCACATTCCTACAGAATGAGGTTCAGAGCAGGGAAAGAACGCTGGAAATGACAAAGTCGTACAACCCACAGAAAACTGAAAATAAACTGTACAAGCCACCGTTCAGTGATGTGAGGTTTAAAAGGCCTAGCATACAATCTACTGCTGCGCTGTACACAGCCAGCCAGAAACAAAACACCTGTATATTCTGTGAGTGTGCCGATCACAAATCGGAAAACTGCCCAAATAATGACACGCTTCAAAGAAAGGACAAGTTAAAGACAATGGGGAGATGTTTTGTGTGTTTGGGACAGAAACACATTGCAAGATTCTGTAAGACCAAGAATGTGTCCTGTGAGAAATGTGGACGGAGACATCACGTTGCTGTGTGCTGTGGTGAAAGGGTGGATGTACAGGCCCCATCCCAACCAGAAGAAGCAGTGGTCTCCTCCGTGCTCCCTCATTCAGTAAGAGTGAAACCAGGTGAACAGAACACTGTGTTGCTACAGACTGCAAAGGTGTGGATTGAAGGCCCATCAGGCAGAAGGGTAGCTCGTTGCTTATTAGGTGGAGGCAGCCAAAGAAGCGTCATACATGAAACATTGGTGAAGAGCCTAAATTTACCAGTAATAAGGCAAGAGACATTGACACTACACACATTTGGGTCCTCCTTTCCCACAAGATCACAGCACAGCATAGTGAAGGTTATGCTTCAAAATATCTGGGATCCTAAACAGAGTATTGTAATAGAAGCTGTGGAGACCCCACAAGTGTGCTCGGCAATAATGAAGGTTCCTGGCGAACAGATCCAGCATGAGCTTAAGAAGAGAGGACTACAACTGGCTGACTTCCCAGGATCCAGTGAGGAACCAGAGCTTGCTGTCCTCATAGGAGCTGACTACTATTGGCAGATCGTGACAGGAAGGGTGGAGAGACTTACAAAAACATTCGTGGCACTGGAGAGCACCTTCGGATGGTCTGTTCAGGGGCCAGTCTCTGCATCAGCTGTTACAGAGGCAACCTGCATGTTCATTCCGTGTAATGAAGAGAAACTCCTCTCCAAGCAACTGTATATTACATAGCTGGAATGTCCAGGGACAGGGATGAAAATTATGGAAGTTTAGCTATTTGTATTGTATCATTGGAAGGACAAGAGATTAGGATCATAACAAAAGGAAAGAATTAGTGGTTAGGATTGCACTTACCTTGAAACAAATCTTTGCCAGTCTGCTGTACTCTCATCACAGTCTGACGTTATTGCTCCTCCCCCTAAAGTTCAGGACGAGTCAGATCCTTCATCCAATCACATGATCTAATTTACCAACCTAGTTGAGGATACCAATACTTGGAATGGAAGATGAGTTGTTTGGAATCTTTACGGAAATTAAATTAAATTAAATTAAATTAATATATTAACAGCTTTTAGGAATTTGGTTAGTGCAACAATTAACTCTTTTGAAATCACGCCTAGTTAAAATGATCTTTGAATCTCAAAATTCTTGCTTGTAGATACTCCAATAAAATAGCTTCAAACAGACGTGTTGATGAACTCATTGGCAGCAGTACACAATTACATCTAAGAAAGAAAATAAGAATTTTAGGAATGTAACACAGTTTAATATAATTTGTAGATTACAACCTATAGTCTGACTAATTTCTTATCTGACTTTTGGACATATAAAATTATTTTGCAATGTAGGAAAGCATGACAGGAAAAGAATGAATGCTGTGATGTCAGATATAAATCAAAGGGATAGACATCTCTATCTGATCAGTGTGATGTGGAGATTAGGACAAGCTATGTGGAATGAACCACATTAACAGTGATCGAAAAAAAAAGAAATGTGAAATCAATAAATTGATCCCACACGTTTCCCGTTATCATTATCCAGTGGATCTAAGTGTCTTTTTGACTTGCTCACTTGCTTTTGAGTGAATGTTGTCTCTGTGGATACTTGGGTTTCCTCCAACAGTACAGAAAAGTTTCGTGTTAGACTTATTGGTGATTCCGAACCAGCCATGGATAGAAAATGGTTTAAATGAAAAAAATAATAAAGTGCTGTCCAAATGTATGGTTAAAATCTGATGTGGTCATGGCTTGCAGTACCACTGCAGGTGAGATGGACGCACCTCTATGATCTGCATCTACGAGCTAGCCTCACCACCTTAAAAGCTGTACCGGGTCCTGTATCAAGGGATGTTGCAAAGATGTGGAATAAACCATGCTGAAAAGCTTGAAAATGTCACTAGGCCTGCAGTGGTTTGTTACAGTGGTGCCAAAACCCAGGATAGTGGGCACTGCAGACCCACAAGCGGGCTAGCAAGGGGCCGAGCACTGCCACTCCCCCAAAGTTTGCTGTTATACTCAAAACAATCTTTAGCCAATCAGAGAACTGAATTCTGCTGTGTTTTATTGGGTACTGGACCTTGGAAAGTAGAAATACCCATTAGAAATTTTATGTGTAACTAATACAACTTAACTTAATTAACAGGATTTGCGCAGCTACCATTAGAAATATTTTTATTTGAAATTATACCTCGTAAAAGAAATCAATAAACTTTGACTCTGTAGTATTGATTAAAGTGCTGTATGAATGTTCACATAAACAATGGCTTTTTATCCGAGTTGCTATTATTAGTTGTTGTAGTATTTTATATTAATGATCAGAATCAGATACATTGTTAATCCCAAAAAATTGCAAATTGCTCTGCTTATTCACACAACCTATTGTCAGAATTTAAAATTAATAATCAGGAAAGTTAACCAATTGACCCCTGTGAGCATTAAGATTAGTACTAATATACAAACTGCTTCCAATTTTACAGTAGGTCTAATGGCCGTCACTGGTCATCAGGTCTCTAAATTCCCATTGTTCTTCTTCAGGATGTTATCCATATTGCAGAGCCATGAGCTTCTCCAAGATCTTATCCATATTGCATAGAAAACACAGTCTGAGTACTCACAGCCCTGCCCATCGTCTATCTTGTCGGCCAGCCTTGTGGGATTTTGAACAGCTGTAGCCGCTTCTTGTTCTTCTATAGATAGAAGAACAAGAATAATAATATATTATTCATCACTGTCGTTACTTAGCATGTGTAATAAATACATTATTTATAAAAGTCATGATGTCATTACTGTGAGGTAGTGAGGAAGGAGGACTCAAAATGTTATAATGTAAGGTATAAATTGTATTTAAGTATATATTTTGTACACTGGAAAGGTATACATTGTACAAAATAGAAACTAGGAAATGCAGAGTAACACAAACAGGCAGGCAGCAAAACAGTTTGTCACCACAAGGAAACAGTGGCACACCAAAGCTACTTATTCCAAAGTAAGAAGGAAGTAAAGATAGCTGAGAGAACCTACCACAGATGTAGACAACAAAATTGTCTACATCTGTGGTAGGTTGAAAGTGAGTGATTTATATCTGACATCACGGCATTCATTCATTACTAGAGCTTGGCTATGAGGCGGCTCACAAGATTCTGGAGGTCCTGAGTCCTGCGCTCAGTAGTCTTCAGCACTTCTGTGTGATTTGCTTTTTCATTGCTCTCATAATCTGTCACAACCTTGTTGGTGATGAGGGACAGGCCCAAGACACGTAAGCGACGGTCAGGAGCCACGTCCTCCTGGACACGTGTGCCACAGTGACGAGCCACCACCACCTCCGGGACTGTGCTCATACCTAGACAGAGGGTAGAGGTTGACATTTAATTGAGTACATAAAAACATTCCTTTACATCTCAGTTAGTACTGAACCTTGAAAGAGACACGTTAAAAAGAAAAGGTGGTTTGACTTCAGCACTGTGGTATAGGTCAGTCTCCAAACACACAGGATCCTTCATTTCACAAAATGCAACTTTACAGCAATTTCTATTAGATAATCCCCGCTTAATTAATCTCCATGGCTTGGCTTTCTCTTATAAATGTGTAGTTACCAACCCAAATACGGCTAACACCTCACAGAACACGACGAACATGCCATAACAAATAGGCTTAAACTTAAGTGTAAAAGTAGTACTAAGATAGTTTTAAAAAATTGTGATAGTGGCCCTCCTGTGAGCAGCAAAACAAGCCAATATGACTATTATTAAAGTCATAAATAAACATAGGTATATCCAATGTTTTAGCAAACAGTTGCTTATTAAGAATTCATTTGGAGTCATTTTCTTATCGTTGTATGATGTATTTAAGATCCTAATTAACTTGTCTGCCATTTGTTGCTGCGTCTGTAGCATAAAGTGGCTTTTTAGCTGCCTGTTTTACTGTGAGGCAAAATAGTAAAGTTATGGGACAGACAAACCAATAAAGCATTGGTGAACTACAGTTAACTGCAGAGTCAAGTGATAGTCATCCTTCAGTTTTAAATATAGTCATTTGAAGTCCTGTTGAATTTTTTTTAAAAGGATTATGGCAGTGAAAGTTCATGAACTTAGATATTCATTTTTATTAGCTATCTTATAATAACTATTCTGTCATAAATGGCATATTTTCCTATAATTTAGAAACTACTCTGGCTGTGAACTGACATATGTAAAAGTAAACTATAGTAAAACTCAAAAAGATAATGAACCCAGGTAACAACTTTCAAAATGTATCATCTTTTTCTGCCAATTTTACTACACAGAAAATATTTACCATTAAACATGCTACATTTACTGTAACTGATCTGATGTAGTTAAAACTGGTTTATATCAAGTTCTTGCTTTGTAGGACATGAAAGTCTAAATCACATTATGATACATAATAACACAAACAAAACATCAATTGCTATACAGTGAAAAAAGAGTAAGAGGGTGTATGCTGTGATGTATATGATGTGAACCGGTGGTTACAAGGATGAAACAATGATCTCTGATGATAGCTGATTTTTCAAGTTGGTACTGAAAAAGGTGCACGTAAAACTGATTTAGTGATGAGGTGTCTTGTGTTATGCCCCTTAAGTGGAGCAGTAAGTGTTGGAAAGGAGTTATTGGTTTGAATTTGAAAGTAAAATTTAATGGCATTATTATCTGTGTAAATTAAAGAAAGTCAGGGTACTCGATCCATGTGCACAGGTGGAAATGAATCATATGAGCTCTATGATGTGTTCTTGGTTCAGTAATATCTCTTGTAGTGAGGGAACAAACTGAGAGGAAGTAGCACAGCAAACTGGGAGGCAGTGTTACGGCTCCCAGTTTGATCTCCACCAAATTATTTAGAATTAGAATTTATTCATGGATGGATCTAAAGAGCACAAGTGAATAAAACTGTAATGAAGGCAAACAATAAGCAAGTCCAATCACGTAACATAAACCTCATAACAACAAATCACAAATAACACTACTCAGATAGTTTTTCTGATTTGTCCCACTCATAGCCTGAATCCAAACCATTTACTGTTGACTTGTAGACTCTGCATGTATAAATTGTTATTTTAACCACGGAGCTGAATTATTTAAATAAGAAAACAGAGCTTGTATTTAAACCAACTTCACCTTCAAAAACACAAAAGTATTGTGCAGTATAATTGTGTGTAACTGTATACTACCACATAATGTGCAAAAAAAAGTGTGGGAGAAAAAAACAGGGGAATTAGAAGAAGCGTTTTCAAGAGTGAAGAATTGCAAAGTCATTCATACTGTATGACTTTGTAAAAAGTGGAGGTTATGTAATAATAACAGGAGAGCCAGGTGCCAAGTTGGTCTGTCAATGATCTGAACAAATAAGTAACAAATACAGACTCATACATAATACATAATAGATCACTAGGAGGACCAAATGAAAAATACTATCCTTTATACAAAACAACATTTTGCATGCATAGATTTTGAAGTCATTTTTAGGTCTTTAATTTAGTTAAGCCATCATATCTTGTGTACTTTTAAGTCTGGGGTTCAATATCGGACAAGTGAACCAGACAGGAAAACTCTGTCAAACATAAGCTTGTTTTTGCACTGTCCAATGAATCAGGTGAAAACTGATGCTTTTTTCCCATATGGAAAAGAAATAGTGAAAACTTGTAAAAGACTTGCATAAGATGTGGCCTACTTCATATAGTGAATCATATAAGGCTTATATGATTTACTTATGAAAGTGGACACTTTCTCATTACTTTTATATATTATTTTAGTAAGTATCCAAAACATACAAGTCTCATTTATATAATTTTTCAAGGGATCTTATATCTGTTTTCACTCCTGACAGATACAAACTTTATAAGATTTATATATATCTTTTCCATATGGGTTAGCTTCCACTAGTTCCAACTGTTGGGGTAATATTACTGCAGAAATTTAACTGCTGTCAGTACATCTTCAAAGTAATTCGTCTCTCCGTATATTTTTTTAATGTATGTATGGTGGCTCTTGTAGATGTACTGTTATGAAGTTTTAACCCTTTATGGTACCTTTTTAAAGGGCACTATCTGAACTGAGGATGAAGGAGCTGTACTAACCCACAGCATCAGCCCCCAGCATCTGAAAGAGTTTGCACTCAGCAATGGTTTCATATGTTGGGCCAGCCAACATGCAGTATACCCCTTCCTGCAGGAAGCTGTCATAGCCCAGTTCCTTTGCTGTTTTTCTGGTCAGGGCTCTCAGGTCACGGTCATATGCATCTGACATGCATGCGAACCGCACTCCGAACCTGCAGGGATAATTAATGCATGAATGAGACACAGGAGTAATGTATAAGATACAGATTTTCCTTTCACTGCCCTGCCTGAGTGTTTCTGTACCTCTCATCATTGTGCCCACACAGAGGGTTCTGTCCTGCAAATCCGGGCATGTTGATGTGATCTTTAATGAGCATGATGTCTCCCACACTGTAGGTGTCATTGAGTCCTCCTGCTGCATTTGTCACAATCAGAGTGCTCACACCCAGCAGATAGAAGACTCGCACTGGGTAAGTCACCTGGAAAGATAAAAATTGTATGCTTCAGAGAGAGCAGCTGTCACTCTTTTATGGTCTCAGTGTTTGTCAGAAAATTACAGAAGGGAGTTACAGGTAACCTGGGAATAATAGCAAAGCAAACAATTCATCATATGAAGCAAACATTATAAAAGTGCCAGCTTCTTTATGCACTGATGTCAGTAAGATTTTTATTACTGTAGGTTTTTGCGCATGTGTGGTACAGTCGTGGTTAGGGATGGGTATCGAAAACCGGTTCTTGTTGAGAACCGGTTCCCACTGTTTCAATTCCTTGGAATCGTTTGCCATTTTTGCAAACGATTCCCTTATCGATTCCAGTCGCCCCGAATGACGTCACCACGTTGCAGAGCGTCATTTACCTGGCAGGAAACACGGCGCCTAAGCGGCTCAAACGCTCAAAAGTTTGATTATACTTTATGAGAACCGATGACAACAGGGCAACTTGCAAAGTAGATATTTCATTTAAGGGAGGAAACACTACGATTATGCACAAGCATTTGCTCACAAAACACGCGATGACACGCGTTTTTAATTCCGCTCCGGACTCGCGAATCTCAACCCAGCAGCAGCAGTAACGTTTGCACGTCCTCTCCCGTTAATGCGGCAGGTAAATAATCAACTAACAGTGCATATTATGTTAGCGCAATCTGCCTTATTACAAGACCTGCCATTACTGTACATGTAGGTGACCATGATGAGAGAGACAGACAGAGTCTGGCTGGCGCTCGCTGGCAGTTCTCGCTGCAGTCTACCGGTAGCGTCTCCTTTCAGGCCAGGATAGACGAATGTCACCGAGCAGTGTCTAAGTTTGTGGTCAAAGGCTTGAACCCATTTGCCACAGCAGATGCCCTCAAATTTTCAGTAAGTGAATGTGTTTAATTGTAGGCAGGGACATTACTGGATATTCTTGTGTAATTGCCACAGAACAATTTATGTTATACTTTGTTATTGCTACAGAAGAATATTTATTTTATTATTTTACATTTACAATTTTTTTTCCTGGGGACCCTGTGACACCCCATTGAAGAGCCGTAGGCTGTGGATCTCTTAAGATCTCACTGTTGGGTTTGTAAGGCCATGTTACTCCTAAATTTCTATCTTGTTCAAAGAGAAGATTTAAAACAAAGTTCTAAGCTAATCGACCTTAGTGTTCTCCTTTTTAAAAAAAAAAAAAAAAGAATCGATAAGAGAATCGATAAAGAATCGAATCGTTAAACAGAATCGAAAATGGAATCGGAATCGTTAAAATCTTATCAATACCCATCCCTAGTCGTGGTTCTGTGCTAACCTTTATATGGCAACTGATGGCCCATAAATGACTGTTGCTACTTTTCACTGCAGTCACATTTAGAAATTGTTTTTTTCTATTTCACATTCCCCTAGAGATTGAATTGCCTATGAAAGTGCTCTGCTAGTTAGTGCAGAAATGTTATCGAGTAGCTTGCTACCTTGATAAGGTCAGTGCTGTCACTTTGGAATATTGGTATGCTTGATATAGGATTTGCATATTATAAGCCCACAACAAACTTTGTTCCATGGACAAAATTTAAGCAGAGCCGTGTGTAATAACAGGACTGCAGAACCTCTAAAAGCAAACGAATGATATAAGGTTTGGTGGAATACTTCTTCTAAAAAAACATATTCATTGTATAAGACAAAGTAATCAATTACAGGCACTTATTATTGCTGGTGTAATGTTTACTATACTAAATGTTTCAGATGAGTGTATTGCCATGGTAACAATAGCTGATCTGCCTAACCACAAGACAGTTGTGATAAGCGTGTCTTTAATTTGGCAGATATTCTGTCATAAAGCAAGCACTGGAACAATTAAAATGTGTGGACAACCAACAGAGTGTCACTGCCATTCACTGAGCCATGCAGTTACTGTACATGGTTAATAAAAACATCCCATCTAATGTTATCTTGGCTTTATTTTTTTCAGGTTGCCAAGTAGGACTTAAGGACCATAACACAGGACAAAGTCCAGTACATTCTGCCAGAAAAGCAAATTTGTAGTAGAAAATTTTACTTAAGATGGCATAGGTGGGGGGTGGCATATGCAGACGACTCATCTAGAGACATTTAAAATGTTGTTTGTCTATACTTCTAACTGGATATAAGAGGACTATAAAGCATCTGACCTTCTGTTACTATAAAAAAATGTGTCTTTTTGATTCAGGGGGGTCATATGGAGAATTTTATGTGGATATGGCATGTGAAAGCGGGTAATAAAAGTCAAACCAGCATACAGTCTCCACAGGCCAAAGGGCAATCCAATGTGACACACTGGTTGTCATCTCAGCACTTCAGCTGATCATTCTACAAACTTGGTAAATTGTTACCTCAAGTTGTACCTATCCTTGATCCTTGATGTCATAAACCCAAATTTCCCTTCTGGGACAATTAAAGGATTATTCTATTATTATTCTATTCTATTCTATTCTATTCTATGTAAGCGTTTAAAAGTCACTAGGCTATTTGGGAGAAAGTCTTAACCCTCTCAAGGCAGGCGTTGCCGATTTGCAACAGTTAAAAACTAACAACCTGATTACCCCACATACATATTTTATGAGGTTTTTTTTTACTCAGAAGTACCACTGCAGGCTGTGCATTAGCAACAAAAAGTTTAATTTGAGCCTGAGAGGGTTAATTGTCTTAGAGAACAGCGTTCTCTCATAGAATATAAGCTTTATGGAAGAAAGTCTGATTTTGACTCATCAATTTAAAGAGCAACAATCTATTTTGACGGCAGTTGGAACTGCATGTTTTTCTCAGTGTGACTGACTATGTCAGAATTTAAACTGCTGGCTGAATTCTACAGTACAGTGCATCGTTTGCATCAGCAAGGTCTCAAGACACAGAAGCGAGTTGGGTTGTGTAATGGAAATGTTGTATTTGTTCCAGAGTTGCTTGTTTTTTCACAGCACAATAATGCTGATTCATGAGTTATGAAACTATTCTATGAAACATGATTGATACAGTCTTGAAGACCCTGAATGTTCTGCTGAGGGAACGACTACACCATATGAATGTGAAATGAGTACACCACTTCGTCTGTGTGCCGAGCCAGAGTCTCAGTCCCATATGCATATAATAACCTTTTTAATGAAAACTCTGAATGATGACTGCTTTTTATTTGTCTTGTTCTTTCGTTACTGGATTTCTTCTGTAATTTGGGATAGAAATTGTGACAGAAAGCTGCTCATGAGGCAAAGCAATAACAAATAAATGTATATCTTTGCACATTTTCACATGGAGGCCATTCAAAATGCAGTTAGATCAAATATAATCCCAGCAGAGCAGAGTATGGAAGTGGACAAATAATGGGTTATGTTAGGTTTTGTATTGTTGATTGTCATTTATGCTTAGAAATATTTAACCATATATTCTTAGAGGTGTATAATTAATTGTGTAGTGATAGGACTGTGATCTTTAGCAGGACACAAAGGCTTGGTGTGTATTCCACACCTACATCCTGGGAGCATGGGAAGAGGTCGTACCTTGTCTTATTGTTTTATGGCAGGATTAACGTAGCTACGTCTGTTCTAGTCTAAGTGGTTTTTGTTTAGATGAGCTGCAGGACTTCCTCACCGTGTTATCTAGGGTGAACCATCTAGGGTGAGGGGGGGTCTACCCTCTTCCTGACCAAGGATGTTATATGACCCTTTGATCAGCAGTACCACACATACACACACACACACACACACACACAAACACACACACACACAGTATTCTTTGTTCACATGTATACCTATGTAAGATGCTATATGTTAATGACCCTATGCATATTCATGTAACCACAATAAAAGGAGTGCTGTGGGGAGCCTGGCTGAGAGTCTGATGGAGGTCAAGTGGTAGGACGACACTTGGCTCTAGGCAGGTCTCCCTCATGCATGAGTAAACCAGAGAACTTTGGTGCCTACTTCATGTTTTGCTTGCTGTGTAATTATATTGTCTTTAACGTTCCAGCGAATAGGTTCAAGCTACAAACCTATCAGGTTACATCCCAAAGAGTAAACACCAGGTATCTGCTACTCACAGTAGCTCAAAGAAAACACCAAGCTTTCTTAACATAAGCAGAATACGCTACTAAAGCTCCCCACACGAGACTGGTCCACACACTGACTAACCAGCTCTTCACTAGGTGGCTGATTGCTGAATAAAGCCAGCTGTCCACTGGCTCCTCGGGCGAGCTGGGTGGAAGCTAAACTACTGGATGAGAAAAACACACCCACACAACACACAGACTTGCTAGGGCTGTAACAAATATAAAACTCATATCAGAGACATGACTGTTTTTAGCCATACTAGCCTCACTGCTATTTAGATGATTAAGAACAGTCATGTCTCTGTATTTACTGCAGACTGAAATAGTTGAACTTTTGCTTTGTGTGGAACCAACATTTTCTTAGAACTGCAGCTATTTATAATTGTAATCCCACAACACCAGTTTAAATATTGGTAATTTATTACTTATTTTTATTGTGAAATGGTAAATGGCCTGTATTTATATAGCGCTTTACTAGTCCCTAAGGACCCCAAAGCGCTTTACATATCCAGTCATCCACCCATTCACACACACATTCACACAATGGTGATGGCAAGCTACATTGTAGCCACAGCCACCCTGGGGCGCACTGACAGAGGCGAGGCTGCCGGACACTGGCGCCACCGGGCCCTCTGAAACCACCAGTAGGCAACGGGTGAAGTGTCTTGCCCAAGGACACAACGACCGAGACTGTCCAAGCCGGGGCTCGAACCGGCAACCTTCCGATTACAAGGCGAACTCCCAACTCTTGAGCCACGATCGCCCCCAGAGTGAAATAAAGAGTGAAATAACTATACATTCTATATAAGATGGCTGTAGCCAATGTGACATCAGAAAAGAAAAAGATGGTCTAATCTGGGTAATAAAAGGTACCACAAGCAGTAGATTATCTCTACATACTGCTGCTTACCGTTTGTATGTTGTAACCCTCGTAGAAATGGAATCTCCCCTGCATACAGACACACTCGCAGCCATTCAGCTTGCCAAACACCAGCTGCCCTGCATGACCCTGCACTGCACAGCACACGTGTAGCATTAGCCATTGCTGGCATGAATATGCACACTGTCCAGACAGTAATAATGAGTTTTAGGAAACCGCTTACCAGTGCTGGTGGGAAAACATGGAATATCCTCATATTTGAACACTATCTTCTCCTCCAGCAGATCAGCTAGACCGCCCAGGCCTGAACCACAGATGATGGCCACTTTGGGACGCTGCTTTGTACGGTTAAGCAGCCAGTCCGCTGTCTCCTTATAGTCTTCATAACTGTATATGAAAGTGTTAAGGAACATAAACAATATCAAGTCAACATGTGCAGCTTTAACTGAGAATACAAAAGTAAGACATTGTTGAAAACAGAAGAACCAGCAGAACAGCTTCAACTGAAAGTTGTTTTAACTTCTATAGGCAATCATTAAAAGTCAGAACTCTAAAAAATAGAAAGATTAATGAGTTTTGTTCAGTTAAGGCTTTTCTGTGTGGATCAACTAGCCTGACCTGTCTATCCAGCTAAAGTGTGTCCCTTTGTGATGACAAAGTTTCCACAACTCATGTAAAGCTAATGCTCATTGTCTCACTGATTGCACTGGTAAGCGATGTTAAAAATAAGTGAAAAGATCATCTGGAGGAGAAATGTGGGAGTAAAAACCCACAGAAATGAACACTGTAAAAATATGATTCAATGATGCAGGGTGCAACACACTGAAGGGCTTTTACTTTGCTATTTTGAGTGCACCAGGCAAATTATAATTCAGGGGTGCTGATTTTATTGGGAATGCCCCAAGGTACTACATTATATAAAGCCTGAACCAGTCTGTAATTCTGGTTATAAATGTGGTAGTAAAGCTATAACCTTGTTAATGTTCCCTCAATGCCTCAAGTCAAGCCTTGTTGTTAAAATACAGGGACACTTCAGGCCGTGGCCTTTACCAGATCAAGCTGAAGCAGGGGAAAGCCCAAAGACTCTAGAAATCCTATCTAAGATATATGCTATATTTGATTAGAATTAGATGTTCTGGCTTATCTTTTCCATATTCCACCTTTTTCTTTGCTAAAAATCTAGCATGGAATTATTTTAGCAACAGTAGAAGTTTTGGCAACTGTGATGGAGAGTTCAGTCAAAGTCATAAAATTTCCATGAAGTAAGAAAGTGGGCCAGCTGCCAAATATATCAAGGGTCTATGCATCAAAAATTTTATCCAGAAGAAAGAAACTGAAAGTAACTGAATCATTATCCAGTCTGTCAGTTGCAATCGTGGCTCTATAACTAATTCTTCAGGTGGTAATTTTCAGCTTTGTACAAGAACACCAGTCAGGAAGATTAACACATGACTGTACAAAGGTCTGCTGGATTAGAAGGTGGAGAATAAATGACAGCATGTCAGGTTATTTAACCATTGCATGTTTTTTTTTATCAGTGATTTATAAACCCAAGCAATGGAAACATGGAGACATCAGCAGGGGTGTATAATATGTAGCATAGCAATAAAACCATCTCTTATTCAGCAAGAACATGATGACAGCTCTCATTTCTGTAATTCTGCTGTAACTTTTTATTTAAGGGGAAGTAAACTTTCCCCATAAACAAGATGAATTTACTTTTGAGTGGCCAACTAGACTTACCAAATAACAATTATAAGAACTTGATGTTTAGCCATCTTTGTATGATGGTGTTAATCTGTTAGATTATCCTGTTTTTTAAATTACATAATAACCTTACAGTGTCTACTATGAGTTAGCATTTTAAAGTCATGTCAAAATGACAGCTTGTAAAAAAAACTGTGAAAAACTCAGTACAATCCATGTTTCATTAACTAAACCAAATTTAGTTGCAATAAGTTAAAGTAGCTGTTTTCTGTGTCATCCTCTACACTAGCTTCTAATTTTACAGAGCAGAATCTTAAAAGCAGAACCTCTATAAAGCCTTCTGCTTTTGTAGAGCTAATAACACCTGGATGTTACTTACTTTTTTTTAGTCCTGTGGCAGTAGTTTTTCACAGCTACACCTAGACTTACACCTACACCTAGCAACATATAGAGTAATATATGAGTAAGCCAGTACATTTTATTTCGATTTTTCTCCTACCTGCCTTTCAATTGAGCTCAATGTTTATCTAGGTTACGTTTGTCTTTGAGCTCACTTTGTGATTATGTTCAATTATATAACAGCAAGCAGGAAGTGAGTTTGTAAGGGCTCTCCTTCCCTTGAACTGGTGGGCTGGTATCGTGTGGAGCTGTCCGTGGTGCTGCGGGAAATTTGTATTCAGGCTCTGAAGCCTGACTGCCACATATTTCTGGCATTCCGAACACAAAGTCCCGAAAACACAAAAGGCAGCTTGACTAGTCGCGGTAGTTGCTAAGCCCCAGGCTTTGAATTAGACACACAAGACAGGCCTGTAAAGTAGGCGAACGTGCAACCAGTCTGACTAGATCATTACGATAGATAGCAATGACATTTGCATTTTTATATATTAACAATGCAGGTTATTCTTCCCTCACGCTGTAGGTAAAGGCTTCCACCTGTCATATTACGACAAGCTCACTTCATAAGAGGAAAACCCTCATTGGCTGGTCTAATCTTCAGAAATAAGCGTCCTGTCACTTTTGCCTTCATTATACGTTTCTCAAAACGCACAAGATGCTTTATGTAAATCTTAGGATTTATTCTTTAGACCCCCTTCAACACCGTCCACATTCCAATTAGCGTAGTGGCCTTGACAATCATTAGGCTCTTTTCACTAACATCCAGCCTTGTCATTCCTACCTGCACTGACTGCTGGAGGGGTTTGCCGCTTCCATATCCGACGATGGCGACGATAAGGTCCCGTTTAGTGTTTATTTTCACAGGTGCTTCCCGTGGATGGCGCCAGTTAAAGCCGCCGATAGAGACTCTTCTGCTTGGGTGGACGGAGTGCGGAGGGGGTGTTGCGCGTTGACGTCAAGACATTTCGAAGGGGATGGGCGGGGCTTACACAGAGTGCCGGTGTTGTGCCAAAAAGTGATTGTCTGCCAGAAACCGATTGCCGTCCGCGGGAGCGCGCGCAGCTGCTTAAAGCTGCAGCGCCCGGATTACTTGTGTTGCCAGCTACTTCCGAGCAACTGATATAACGTGGGGGGAAAAACCCCAAACACATTTATGCCTTCGTTATTAGGCAAAGGTATGCATTTATGGAGCTTTAACGTTTCTTGTAACCGAATTATGGCGCTTATCAGAAGGTTGCTTTCAGTGTGTGGCGCAGTCACGAATGACTACATGGAATAATTAATGCCTACAGGTTTAGTATGTCTACTCTCGTTGTTCATATTTTTTATAAGACTGTCGAATAGTAGTTAAAACAATAAAGACCTATTGTGCCAGTATCACCATGACTCTTTCTTGTTTGTTCAGAATAACGACTGAGAACATGGCATTTTAGCGCTACCAAAAAGCGATTGTGGCCTATATCTTGTCACTGAAACAATGTTTCTGCTTCAAACTTGTTGGATATATTCCAGAAGGGTTATATGTGATATATTATATCCCAAAAACTCTTCAAGAGCTGCTGAATAACTTGTACAGGAACAATAAAACAATAAATAAAACTGACAATATGCCATTTTCAAGCTGCCAAAAAGTGATTGTGGCCTATAAATTGTCACTGAAACAATATTTCTGCTTCAAACTTGTTGGGTATCATCCAAAAGGATGATATGTGGCACATCATATCCCAAACAGTCTCTAAGAAATGCTGAATACCTTTTAAAGGATCATTAATACCTATAATGTGCCATTTTAAGCCTGCCAAAAAGTGCATAAAATGTCAAATTTCATTCACTCTCCAAGAGCTGCTGAATAACTTGTACAGGAACAATAAAACTGACAATATGCCATTTTCAAGCTGCCAAAAAGTGATTGTGGCCTATAACTTGTCACTGAAACAATATTTATGCTTCAAACTTGGTGGATGTCATTCAGAAGGGTCCTATGTGACACATTATATCTCAAACAGTCCATTAGAACTGCTGAATAACCATTAAGGGAACGATAAAACTGATAATATGCAATTTCCAACCTGCCAAAAAGTGATTGCCGCCTATATCTTGTCACTGAAACAATATTTCTGCTTCAAAATTGTTGGATATCCTCCAGAAGGGTTACATGTGATATATTATATCCCAAACACTCTCCAAGAACTGCTGAATAACTTTTAAAGGAACATTAATATCCATAATATGCCATTTTCGACCTGCCAAAAAGCGATTGTGACCTATAACTTGTTAATGAAATACTATTTCTGCTTCAAACTTGCTGCATGTCATTCAGAAGTTGTAATGAATGGTGGACTGAGTATTTTGCAAGATTGTTATTTACATACTTATTTGTATAACACTTTTAACAAAATATTCATGTTACCTTGTTTTGTCTAATTCATACTGGCTGCAAGATTTACCCACGGTGGTACCACAGGAGCTGTGCCAAGAAGCCCTGCAAGACCAAAAAAAAAAACATTTGTTTGTGAAGCATGTACCCAGTACGAAAAAGTCAGCATAACGAAAATAAACTCCACCTAAACTTAGTTTATATCTGACCCAGACAGACTGCAGGTCATACCTTCTTACCTGAAGTTCAGTTCACCTGACACTCGGACTCCTCGGGTCTCTGCTCCTCCTGCCTCACCTTTCCCTCATCCACCTGCTGGCCTCCACCACTTGCTAATGAATCTGTGGATGCGCCACGATAGCCACCACAAGAAGTAATGAATAACGAGCCTATCTAAATCCCAGTAACGATTAACGTGTTCCTGATTTTGGCATAATAACTAGTTACCGTGCTCATTATCACAATAATAACGTAGTTACTGTAACGCATTACTTAATAACGCGTTAGTCCCTACACTGCTGAATTCCGCCTGGGTAAAGTTTCAATTTGTAATTGGCCCAGTTTAGCTGCACAACAGTTCCAGAAAAACTGTTATTATCCGGAACTGGGTAACAAAGCCTTGGAATAAACAATCTCAAGGCCCTTATCAATTAGCAGCTACTCAGATCGACTCACCCCCTTATCACCACAACTTGGCTTGGATTGACTGGTTTCCCATTACAACCTAGTACTACCTTGTGTGCATGCTTGTCAACATAGCAATGCATCTGCACGTCCCACGACGTCAATAATGTGCGATACGAAGACTAAAGGTGGACATTTAGGCAAGAATATACCTACTGCTTGGTCTGTGGCTTTTCGTCAGACTCAAGGATCACCGCATTTCTTTTTTTTGGGAGCTATTTCCCTCGTTGCTGGGTTTCAAAGATGACGGTTTTGACTTTCGTGAATGAGAAGCTCTCATGATTCATTGAGTGACACTACTGACCAGCAAATCAGTGTCATGCAGTGTGACGACATCACATTTTAATACCTGCTCGGATCGTTTGGATCTGAAAAAGTACCAGGTACCAGTAGGGATGGGTATTGATAAGATTTTCACGATTCCGATTCCATTTTCGATTCTGTTTAACGATTCGATTCTTTATCGATTCTCTTATCGATTCTTTTTAAAAAAGGAGAACACTAAGGTCGATTAGCTTAGAACTTTGTTTTATATCTTCTCTTTGAACAAGATAGAAATTTAGGAGTAACATGGCCTTACAAACCCAGCAGTGAGATCTTAAGAGATCCAGCCTATGGCTCTTCAATGTGGTGTCACAGGGACCCCGGGGGAAAAAAACTGTAAATGTAAAATAATAAAATAAATATTCTTCTGTAGCAATAACAAAGTATAACATAAATTATTCTGTAGCAATTACACAAGAATATCCAGTAATGTCCCTGCCTACAATTAAACACATTCACTTACCGAAAATCGGGGGCATCTGCTGTGGCAAATGGGTGCAAGCCTTTGACCACAAACTTAGTCATTGCTCGGTAACATTAGTCCATCCTGGCTTGAAAGGAGACGCTACCGGTAGACTGCAGCAAGAACTGCCAGCGAGCGCCAGCCAGACTCTGTCTCTCTCATCATGGTCACCTAAACGCACAGCAATGGCAGATAAGGCAGATTGCGCTAACATAATATGCACTGTTAGTTGATTATTTACCTGCCGCATTAACGGGAGAGGACGTGCAAACGTTACCGCTGCTGCTGGGTTGAAATTCACGAGTCTGGAGCGGAATTAAAAACACGACATTCATTTAAGGTTGTCGCGTGTTTTGTGAGCAAATGCTTTTGCATATTCGTAGTGTTTCCTCCCTTAAATGAAGTATCTACTTTGCAAGTATTGCAAGTTGCCCTGTTGTCATCCATTCTTGTAAAGTATAACCAAACTTTTTAGCGTTGAGCCGCCATGTTTCCTGCCAGGTAAATGACGCTCCGCAACGTGGTGACGTCATTCGTGGCGACTGGAATCGATAAGGGAATCGTTTGCAAAAATGGCAAACAATTCCAAGGGATTGAAACAGTGGGAACCGGTTCTCAACAAGAACCGGTTTTCGATACCCATCCCTAATAATAATTATAATAATAATAATTATTAGTATTAGTATTAGTATTATTATAACTGTATCTCAGTTCCAAGAAAGCAATCTCTAATATTACAAACATTATCTTAATTCCAAGCACCCAATCCCAAATACCAAGAACTGTATGTGAGTTCCAAGAAAGCAATCTGTAATAACAAAGACCAGGGCATCCCTGGGCACACGTGCCATCGCTGGCACGTGAAGGGTTTACTGATGGCATGACCATAGCTGGACTGGCCACCGGGCATACCGGGCACTTGCCCGATGGGCCGGTGGTGATTTTTCATTTTTATGGGCCGATGTGGAGGCTTTTTTGTTTGTTTTTTGTAACCATATAAACAATGAAAAGTGGTGGATTGGCCAGATGCTGTCTGATGTGTAAAAATAACTCAGTTGTTTGGTCATGGCTATGGCAGAGCTTCCACAGCGTCCAGCGGTTGGATGAGGGTATGGGGAGGAAGAGAGACCTGAGGCAGCCACCGGTGCGAGTGTCAGGTGAACTGAACTTCAGGTAAGAAGTTATGACCTGCAGTCCATCTGGGTCAGATATAAATCAAGTTTAGGTGTAGTTTATTTTCGTTGTACTGACTTTTTACAGTCAGTTACAATAACTTGTACTGCGTACTAGCTAGCATGACTGAGTTTCGGTGAATCGTCTCGTATTCAGAGAAAATATTACTTGTTTCGTATTGAGCTGAAAAAGAACACCGTTTTTCCCGTACTTCAGCTACAATGAAAAAAAGACACAAAGCTGGAGTTATTCTGCATCTTTACGCTGTCAGCTGCATCTTCTTCTCTCATTCTCTCCTCCTCCCTCTCCTGTTGCTACTTCAATCATAAAACTGATCAGCTGATCGGCTTTTCTCTCTTGCTTGTTTATCGCTCACTATGCGCCAGAAAGAGGAAACCAGCGGATTTCACGCTAAACAACAGCAGCACGTTTAAGCTTGATCAGCTGTTGTTGTTGCTGGAGCCCCAGCTGTAAAAGCTGCTGGTCATGATATTGTGTGGTTATCTGGTGAGACGGAAACATGAAACCAGGAGATGTCCTTACTGAATCATCAGAGCTGAACAAGTGATGGAGAAACAGGTTTACCTTTTAGGTGACATGAATGAGTTGAAGGGAAGTTATGAACTGTTTCTGAGACAAATAAAACCAGGATCCTTTTCTATGAGGACAAGAATGGCTCTTGGCGAAGGCGGTCGGACTTTTCTCCGCTCCCTTCCATTATCTTTCCTGCTTAGCGTTTTGTGTCCTTGTCTAGTCTCGTCTATTACTTTTTCCCTGGAACACTCTCTCACAATCTGTTCTCTAAAACATAAAAGACGAATTATGGATTTGATCAACTGGCCCCTGAATGTAATTGACACCCTCTTCTCA